TACCAGTCCTAATTAGGGCTTAGAAACCACAACAACCAATCACCAACGACACAATCGGAGGCATAGGAACCTCCAAGGGAAGAGGGCGATCACTCCTTTTCAGCCCTTTTCCCAGTCTCCAACTCACAGCTGAGAAACCCAAGAAAAACCCTAGTTCGGATGCGCAGAAGACAGACTTCTAGCAAGTCTGATTTGTTCAATGTGGCTCTGATACCATGTTGAAGTTCGACCTGCCCTAGAATTCTGTCTTGTTCGTTGACTGTAAAGTAAAGTGAATAGCAAGAAGTAGAAGTAGGAGAGGAAAGAATAAGAGAGAAAAGAGAGAAGGTCTGGTTTGAATTAGAGGAAAAAGTTATCCCTAGATTCGGCCAGACCTGTTATTATATTATGAACTTATTGGAAAATACTTAAGTGCCCTTATTTAATTTAGAGGCACTCGAACTAACATAACAGTACACATCAACATTCTCAACAAGTGCAAAGACCAAAATACCCCTTCACTAACACCACTAACAATTTGATTGATGGGAAGATCTTTATTAGGAAATAGCAAGATTGGAAGGATGTAAAAATATGATAAAAAACAAGAGTAGACCATTTATACCTCAGTCTCTCTCTCTCTCTCATTTTGTTAATGTAAAAAGGAGTTTAAACCAGACAGATGTGGCAGAGCTGTTAAAACTAGCCTCCTTTACCTTGAAGAAGAAGGGGGTAGATTTTGTGGAGCTATGCAAGGACAGCAGTGGTTTGGACAGTATGGGAGGAGAGAAGCACAAGAATCTTTAATAGGACACAGCATGTAGCAAGGAAGCAACAATCAAAGTCATTGCATTGAAGTTGTGCTTTAGGTGAAAATATTGGAAATCTGTCCTCTATTCTTACAGATGATATCCTTAGAGGATGGGGATGGGTAGCATCTTTATCAACAAGGAATATGACCCAACTCCCAAGCGTATTGGTGCCATCTATCCACCCCTGAAGTTCCTTGCCCTACCTTCTCTTCCTAATGTAAACACTGTTGATCCACCCCAACGTTTTTTCTCTTCAAGCTTCTAGCTCCATCTGTGATTTCTAAACCAACTCCTGAATTGTCCCTTTCCTTTGCACTACTTTCCAAACTGGAAGGAGAAGATAGGTAAGGTGTAGAAGAGATACACCCTGAACCTACCTCATTGTTCAGCTGTGCTATGATATCCAAAGTTTTTGATCCAACCACTGCTACATTTATTCCTTATTCCTTATTCACATCATAACCACCAGTATCTATGTCTTCCTCCTTGCTAATCAGTCAAGTAATGGTTCCCAAAAGGTTTACCACTTCCGGCAAGCCAGAAGTCTTTTGAACACCGCTCACTTCGCCTCTTCCTTTCTGCAAAAAATCCTCAAAAATTCCACTGCCCTTCCCATTCCAACTGCTAATCCACGTAGACATTTCCTATGCTCCTGAGAGGCAGAACCTCCAAATGGCTTTAAATCTTTGATCTTTTGCACATTTGGGATCAAATTGTTTCCGCTTCACTGTTCTTCTATTGCTGTTGCACCTCCTTCTGGGCTGAACCGGGTGGTATCACCTTCTCCTGCAACTCTTTTTGGATGGTGGTCTTCCTGCCGCTCACAAACTGTCACGATCCAGACCCATTCATCGTTGATCCAGCTCCTCTTGGTTTTTATTCGCCTGGACCTAAAGGGATCCAGCCCAACTTTCATCGAAGATAAGTTCTTTCCTAAAATATCCCTCAACCTTTTGGACCTTTTACTCTAGTTGCCCTTTCTAAAATTAAATCTTTCTGTTTAAAATGGTGGACCCCACTCCTTTTTTTCCGGACCATTACCTTCTACCGCCTGTTTCCTCTCCCTCTCATTTCCACCTCAAACTCCTGCCTGTTGGCCTTCCACTGACTCCTCTCTAAATCCCTTCTGTCCTTCCTCATGTGAGCCAGTTGGCCCAGTTTTTGGGCCACCTGAACATCACTTGTGTTGTGAGGTTCCGCTTCACCATCTCCTCCATCCAAACGAGTCTTTGGCTTCCCTTTCAGCTCCGCCTCCACCTCTGTTCTGCAACTAGATGGCCTTTCACCTACCTCAGTTGCATCTCCAAGACTCCAACCTCTTTCACCACCATTTCTTCAATATCTCTTCCATCCATCAAATCCTCCAGTTCCAATATGTCTGGGATTGCCACAGCATCCATGACTTCAACCTAGTCTCGTCATGTCAAGCTTCTCCCAGGTTCTATTCCTGTCATCAAACTTCAAGAATCTACCACAACATCTGGCAATTTCTTCAAACACAGACGGAAGCTCATATAATCTTACCTTCTGAATCTCTGAATGCTCCTTGGGTCTTCAGAGAAAATTGAAAACTTGTTTTAGAACTTAGAGAAAATGAGGTAATTTCTAGAGTGGGGCAAATAAGGTGGTTGACATAGGAGTGGGAGAACCTGAGAAGTAGCTTATTTTCTCAATTTATTTTCTTGCTCTGATCCTTCTTCAAATAATAGGCTCTTTTGCTTGATCTAACTTGTGCTATTTTAGATAAAATGTTGTACATTGGGAGTTCATGAATTAGATCTATTAACCTTATTGTCATGTATTAGAGAAACACTTAAAGAAAAGAGGAGAAAAGAAGAAGAACGATAACCAAAGAACATAAAGGAAGCTGATTTGAACGTTTAATAGATGAAAATTACTTTGGGATTGATGATATCAAGTCTTGGGAAATAAACAGATGAACAAAGTTGTTGAAAAGTAGTCATCTAAGACCATGATGGACAGATTATTTACTTATTCTAGATATTGTTGCAGAATTGGGTAGTGAAGTTCTTTTAATTGTAGTGATTTTCAGATGTATTATTGTTGTTTTCGTTGGATGAATGGTTGTCATGTTTATTATAAACATAGATTGATTCTTCCTATGTTACTTGCAGTGCCAATCACAGCTGAAAACTCTTTATGCTGAAGGGATCAAAGGATGTCATATGGAGTTTTCTGCCTACAACTTGCTATGTGTTATCATGCATTCAAATAACAATAGAGATCTCTTATCATCAATGGCAAGGTTAGTCACATGTTTCTAGATACTTTTTTTTTATGCTATGATGTATATTTTCTTCCTACAACTTGTGTTGTCCTTGTTTTTTCATGCTAACCGTTAAATGTTTATGACAGAGAAAAAGATAGTGGTATATAAATCATTAATTGAAAGACCCTTGTTTGGTTGGCTAAAACAATCCAACCACCCCATTTTATACTCAAAAACATCATAGAGATGTAACCACCAATTGTCCTGTTCACTGCTTGTTTGGCTAAAGGTTCAGCCAAACTATTTGCTGTTCTTTGGTTCCAAGTAATTGTGACATTTAACTCCTTGACAAGTGTTTGATTTCCTTCATCGAATGAAAATATCAACCATGATCCTTGACTATTATTCCTCAGCCATCCTATTACTACCTCGGGATCCCCTTCTATTGCTACATTTCTGAAATTATTAGTTTTTCCCAGCCTCAACCATTTTAGTACAGATAGCAGTTTTTCCCTTGTAGAATCTCCCAAACCTATGGGACTTGGAAATATGTTCAAGAATGGCTCCAACCCAAGATGCACCCCTAATTGGATATGGTTTGGCACAAAAAAGATGAATATTGGCTAGAAAGGTAAAATTTCGGGTTTTGATGAAAAATGAAAGAAAGCTCATCTATATTAGTTCCAGTCCATCGAAAATGTCAAATGAATTTCTTTTGAACTTTTGGTTGTTTATGGCAGTAATAGTTTTTTGAAGGATTTAAAATAAAATGGAGAGAGAAGCAAGAAAACCCAAAGTCTTGCTTTAATAAATTCAAGTTATTTATAAAAAAAGAAAAACCCAAAGTCACTCAATGAGGTACCTAAATTCACTCTAGGGCATAGGAATCCCTCACCATGTAAAGTATAAGCTGTAAAATCTAAAATCAACTTTATTCAATCTTGTTCAAAAATGTCTATACACATTTAGACTGTTATAATATGTCTACTAGTTATATTTGCCACATATACACTTGGTAATTGGAATTACTTTGGCAGAACCATTCTATTGCAAGCATTTAGCAAGATATGTTGCTTTAGACACATCTGCAAATAGAGCTATGGCATCGGGATAAAGCCAGAAGTTATAAAATGTGTACCTAGCCTGAGTTTGTCCAAACAACCATAGATAGATTTACTGTTTTTCTCTGTAGACCTTTGGCTTCTCTATCTGAAACACGTACTTAAAAAATTAACATATATGGGGTTCTAGATATACTCTTTGGTTTCATTTCTTGAAGGAGGCTCATTATAGAATTGGCAAGTAACAAGTACAACTTACAGAGAACCAGTCTGCTGTTTAGCATCCTATCATCAAATTGGGGAAACTTTAGCTGTCTGAAAAAAAAAAAAACAATAGCCTGGGCTGTTTGGGAACTTCCTTTGCATGATATGTTGTCCCAATCAGTACCTTGTTTGTCCTTTTGGCTAAAAGAATATTGATTGCAAATTTTCTTTTACCCCACACCCATCCTAATATGTCATGTCTAGGTTGCTCCCAAACAGCCCAGGCTGTTGTTTTTTTCAGAGAGCCAAAGTTTTTCTATCAAATTGTGCAAATATGCCTGTATTTTGGAATTTTTATCTAACATCTTCATATATCAAATTTTCCTAAACTCTCCTTTTGTTGCCAGATTATCACGCGAAGCAAAAGAGCATGAGGCTGTAAGGCATGCTCTTGCAGTTCGTGCAGCCGTTACATCGGGGAACTATGTCTCCTTTTTCAGACTGTACAAGACAGCACCTAACCTAAACACCTGCCTTATGGGTGGGTACTTAAAGAATTCTAGAGTTAGCTCAATTGATGAAATATTTTGTGTGGTTACCTCTCATGGAAAAATTAAAATTCCTGCTGTAGATCTTTATGTTGAGAAGATGAGGTTTGAGGCAGTGAGATGTATGTCTCGTTCGTATCGCCCTTCTCTCCCTTTGGCATTCATTGCTCAAGTTCTGGGCTTCCCGAGTGTATTGTCAACAACTGAAGGTGGCAATGAAAAAGACACGGATGGATTGGAGGAATGTGAGGAATGGTTAAGAGCACACGGTGCATGCCTAACTGTAGACAACAATGGTGAGATGCAGTTTGATACAAAGGTATGCTCATAACTTGCACTTATTGCCATTTGGAAATGTTAAAATGAAATCTCCTGTAGATTTCCATTGTGTTTGGAAATGGAGCCCCAATGTTTTCACTCTGCCGTTGATCTGGATGATTGAACTATTTGAACGGTCATCCGACCCTTTTCTAGTTCTGGTTTTTCTAAAACCCAGAAACTGGTCAAACCTGTTGACTTGGTGAAAACCCGTTTGATCCGAGTCGCTGTAAGCCTGTACTGTTGATCTGCTCGCAGGTCATGGATTATAAATTACAATTTATATTCAAACTTTTGAGATCTATATGGGGTAATCTTTTATTTTTTAATTGATTTTGGGCAACTTTTTGTGTAAAACGGTTCAGCCTCTGGGCTGGTTTTTAAAACATTGTATGGAACAATATTTTGCTAATTATGGTGGCTATTTGGGACATATTAACTTCTGCACGACATAAGTTTTGGATTTTGTAAATTCCGTCCTTGACTGAAATGGGTTTATGTGCAGGCTTCCACTTCCAGCCTTTACATTCCAGAACCAGAAGACGCGGTGGCACATGGAGATGCAAATCTTGCTGTTAACGATTTTCTGACTCGGACATCATAAAAGGATATTTTGCTTGTAACTTAGTGTATCGGTATGGATCAGAAATCCACCCACCGCCATCTGTTAGAGATCCATGGATCAAATGGAAAATAGTTTTGCAAAATCAACTTGGCAAAGGTCAAGTCAACCATCATCATACCTGTAATATTTAACAGGGTATAGATGGATGTATGAACGTGAAAAGGCGAAGGTAAAGAAATGGGAAATACTGCAGTGTCATTGGTAAAGCTGCTTTAGGTTTTAGCTGTTGTATTTGGTTAAATCTCTCTTTTTATTTTTATTTTTCCTCATTGCTTGTAAAATGTCTTAGCTCTTGTTTATTAATTGGGTGCCCAACGTAGATTGTAGGATTAGGATGTCATGTAACACGCAACATCATTTGCGCTGAATAGAAGTTTTTTTTTTTTTTATTTATGCTATGTTGCTAACAGAGGGTTGGGATTGGAGCGGTAGAGATATTAGCATCGATGGTTTCTATTGGTTGGGCGTGGGGCCGCTATGATGGATGATGACAATGAACTCGGAGGTGTAAAGTGGGCTGTGCGGGACCGGCAAGGCATAGCCTGTGGGCAGCTCGCACTTTTTGCGGGCTGTGCTGTGTTGTCTTGTGGGCCATCACGGCCCATGCTGCACTCCCTGGTGAAAACTTTGGGAGTCGGCTCGGTATGGCCCATGGCTTGGGCCTGTGTTGTGCTGCCCCGTGGGTCGAACTTTGGGCCAGGTCGGGTCGTGCATCGAGCCAAATTTATTTAAAAAAATTGACAAAAAAGTTTAAAATTTTAATTTTATATGAATTGTGTATAAAATTACTTATATATATGCAATAATTAAATAAGTTAATATAATAACATTAAAAAAATATTTATTTTATTAATATATTATATACTATATATTATTATATAATTATAATTCATATAATATTATATAACTATATATAAAATATATATATTGGCCAAGCCATGGATTGTGCTAGGTTGTGTAGTGCCGGTTTACATGCCGTGGGTGGCACGGCCTGCTTGGTCATGTTGTGCCATGTTGGCCTGCGGACCTAAAATCCTAGGCTCAACATGGCCCGCGGACCGTCGTGCCGGGCCAGTCCAAGTTTGTGCTGGGCTGTGGGCGGCATGGGTTGATTTACACCTCTAAGTGGGATGTGCAGTGAGGTCGATGTGAGGTGTGCTAACAATATTGGAATAAGTTAAGGCTCATTTGGTTTGTCAAAATAGGGGTTTTGAATCAAAGTTAGTTTGGTTTGGAGTTAGAATACAATTCCCATACTTGGTGGAATGGTATTTTCCATTTTATGGAATGGCTATATTCTCTACCCCATCTTGCGAATGAAATCCTTTTCCAGTTGATTCAAAATATGTACCATCAGCCGTATCAGTGGCTGAACTCTCAAGAAAATACTACTGGAACATCTTTTATACTTTGTGTGTTATTTATGGTGGAGATGTTTTCAATACATGGTGGGATGTGCAATGAGATCGACGTGAGGTGTACTAACAATATTGAAACAAGTTAAAGGCTGGTTTGCAGAAATAGGGTTTTTAAGTCAAAATCAGTTTGGTTGGGTGGAGTTAGAATACTATTCCCATCATTGGTGGAATGGTATTCCCCATTTGAGAGAATGGTCATATTCTCTACCCCATCTTGAGAATGAAGATTGTGACTTGTGAGCCATGTATGGTTAGTAGTTACAGACTGTGTATGTAGATTGTCGGCTATAAAGGCCGACCCCCATGTCAAAGCAAGCTAAGCTAAACTAAGCCAATTTCGTCAAGGTTCAAAATATCGTTATTGACCCGTATCAGCTGATACATATCATATTGGGGCCTTATCGGTATCTCCCAGGATTGTATACAGGTTTTAAGGATAGTCGGGATTTAAATCAATCTCTCTGAACCGATTTAAAAAAATAAAATAAAACATAAAAAAACATAGATATAGAGTATCAATATTTTGAACCTTAACCTTGCCACGCCAAACGATAAATCGGGGTTCCTTGTGCTAATTAAAAATCTTTAATTACGACCGTAATTTATCATAAATAAATGTTTTTCAAGTAAGTAGGGTCCCCTTTCAATCTACGAAGTCCGCGCTAATCAGGCCAGTCGAACAGGATGGTACGTGGCCAATCAGGTTAGTATGGTGGTCAGGCTCCCCTTGTCCACGTTAATTGATGGTTGCTTGTACCGGTCCAAAGGGACGTTTGGAAATGTGTAATCGTGTCTTACTGTTATCGGGAGATAGGACCTTTTTTTTTTTATTTCCTCTTCAACCTTACATCACAGAGACTAAAGCGTCTGGATTAAATATCTGATGTTAACCGGATTAACCGGCTTTCCTATCGCTAGCATTGAAAAAATTGAAACCAAAGAATTTTCACCAGGGGTCATGGAAATTGGCCACAGTCCACAGTTTGAGTTGAGTTGTTGAGACACTTGGTTTAAACAAATTGAGTTTGTAGAGAATTGGGGAGAATTGGGAAAAAAAGAAAGACGCAATTAGGATGAAATTGTAAAATTTATGGGTAGTTGGTATTGCCGAAATCCCGGTTGGGCTAGAATACAAATACAATACAAGTAGGATTAAAATAGAAAATCCATACTTGCAACAGAGTCATGGGTAACTGTGATTTATGAATTGCTGCATGCACGCAAGCTATGATTTATGAATGGACTAATGACGATAGAACATAGAAGAAGAGTCAAGAGACCAAAAAAAAGAATAAAAATTAGAAAACCATCCATCGGCCCGTCAAATCCCCTATCCAAAAAAAAAAAAAACCCAAAGCAAAGGAAAGTCTCTTGGTCGTTTAACCTCTCTCATAATTTGGTTCTCGTCATTTTCAAAACCGAATTTTATGGCAGACACTCTCTCTTCCATCTTCAGTCATTTCCATTTTCCAATTGTAATTTGAATCTACTCTTTCTTTCTTTGTCTCTGTGCATTTGATTTAGGCCATTCATGTTGGACCTGGACAGCAATAATAGACCGCCAATTTACTACACGGCATGAGAGATGGGCTTTTTCTCTCCACGTGGAGAGAGTAAATTCAACTCGTCGAGAGGGGAATGTCTTAATTGTTTTTTCTTTTTTGTTCTGATGCTTCAAACTCAAAGGAGTCTTTTCACAACTCCTGAACTCGAAGGGTGTAGTAATTAACCCTAGTCATTAAGGACACTTACTCCTTCCACACCTCACAAAAAAAAAAAAAAGAAAAATCCTGACTTCTTGAAGTAGATGTAAATTCATAAAACCAGAAGAATTTCTATTATTTTTTCTATAGAAACACAAAGGAGTTAGGAAAAAATTACAAGCATCGTATCGAGCGGTAGCTTAATACAAAACCAAACCCAGCTGCTAATACAATATAATTACAAGAAATTAAAAAAGATTTTTATTTTTGTTTTCATTTCTCATTTCCTCTTATTCTTGCTTCCCAACAACAGGGTGAAGTAAAACAGAGTCCTAAAGAAGAAACCCCAAGCCACAGTAGCCCACAAGCAATTCCACTTACTCAGATCAGTAGTCCCCTGCATCCTCAATATGTCCACTCCCGTCGTCACGCAGGTGTTGCTGCTGATGTTCATCCCCAACGAACTGCTCATCTTCTTCAACAACCCTACCTTCATGGCCTCCGGCACCATCCCAAGCGGCGTGTTGTCGAATATCTGAACACCCTTCACGAAGCATTTCGCCGGGTCGTCGAATTCGTTCTGCAACACCCCCTGAAATGGGTACTTCACCAGCGATATGTAATGGTACCATATCCAGTACGCCGGGATTCGATCCCTTGTGATGAAGAAGCCACTGAAGAGCACGAAGTATGCCAGCATCGACAACACCACCGTGTACCCCATCATCTCCTGTGTGATCACTCCCGACAGGAACGTCACAAACGAGTTCCCAGCCCAGAAGGAAGCCACAATTATCAAGAAATAGAACAAGAAACCTGACCATCCCCCTGCCAGACCCACCGTCCAGAACGTTACCGCCGCGAACGCCAATGACAGCAATATCAGAGAAGGTATGGACACTAGAGACTGAGATAGAACGTAGGACGACCGACGATATGCGTTATAAGCTGTCTCTCTCATGAAGATGTATCGCTCATGCAGGAACACTGGCATCGCCTCTGCGCAGGTGTAGAATGTCGTCGACATGGCGAAGGCGAAGAATCCCAGTCGCTCTTGGATGCCCTTGGGAGAGTTGTCTACATGCCAGAATATGGTAGCCAAGATGATACCAGTTACCAAAACTGCTCCTAAACGGACCCCAACCAGCTCCGGCATCCGCTTCGCGTTCGTCATCGATCGATTGGATAGTACCGCCACCTCAGTCCAGAATGGATTAGCGAACGTTGGCACCGACGATGTACCGCTCGCATCGTTCGTCGCTCCGGAAACCAGCTTTCCTCTTGAAATGCTGGCAGCGATGGCGTCTTTCAGCGTGAGACCCTGTCTATCGTATCCACAGGTCGATGGGTGATTCATTTTCTGCTGCCATGACTTGTGGAATTCAACCAAGCTCTTCGTTCCCCCGGGCAATCCCTCCAGTTCCTGAATGTAATCGAGAGCAAATTCGGTTTTGTTCTCGTTCTGTGGAATCGGGCGTCCGAATTCGGAGAAGAAATTCGGCATATCGTCGGGGGTGCCACTAAACACGGTCTGTCCACGTGACAGGAAGAGTAGACGGTCGAGTAAGCCGATGATTCTGAAGCTGGGCTGATGAATGGACATGATAACGATGCTGCCGCTCGCAGCGATGCGCTTCAAGACGTTCACAACCATGAAAGCACTCGTGGAGTCGAGTCCCGACGTCGGCTCGTCGAGAAACAATACGATCGGGTCGTGAATGATGTCGATTCCAATGGAAACACGACGGCGTTCTCCACCGGAAACACCTCTGTGGCCCTCATCACCGATCACCGTATAGGCAGCGTTTGTCAGACCCAACTGTTCGATCAGAGCTTGAACTCTAGCTTTCTTCTTCGATTTAGAGAGCTCGCGTGGAAGCCTGAACTCGGCAGAGAACATGAGCGTCTCCTCCACTGTCAACATTGGGAAGAGCAGATCATCTTGCATGACGTACGCAGATATCACTTTACGAAGTCGAGACGGTATAACTTCGCCATTCAAGGTTATACATCCCCTCAAGCTCCCCTTGGCAATACGACTGGCTAGAGCATCAATAAGAGTTGATTTCCCCGATCCACTGGCACCCAGAACGGCAAGTATTTCTCCTTCTCTGGCATAGCCGCAGATATCATTCAAGAGAACCTTGGTATTTGAATTTAAAACCCTAGGGTCGTTATGGATTGGACCCGCCGCTGCTCCGAGACTCTTGGCCCGGCCAAAACACGCAGGAAACGAAATCTTACGGCGAGTCTTCACGCTGTATGTCAGATTATTGAAGGAAAGAATAAAAGGAAGATATCTGGAGTCAACACCGGTGTCGTTAATGTCGAGCGACTGGTGCCGGGGAGTCTCAATGCGGGTGGCTTCGTCTTGGGCGTTCTCCACTCGCCAGAAGAGTTCACTGAGGGTCGGAGACGGTCCAGTGTTTTGGACCCCTCGAGGAGCAAGGCCTTGAAGCTCCATGGCTGGCCTCGGCTCGAAAACTGGTTTGCTATCGACGACCAATTTCGCCGGGATATGTTTATCGGCTCCGACGGGAGACATTGGAAGCTGGGGGGGCTTGGCTTTCTACGGCTCTCTGTCTGTAACCCAAAGCTGGTCTTATATAGGGACGGGTGCGAGTGTAAGAGCCAAAGGGGGAAGTAAATAGCTAACGTTAACGGCGGAATTGGAGAGGAAGGAAGGTAAATGGTTAACATTAACGGCGAAAATGGAGGTCAATGTATTCCTTTAATTAATTACATTTTTCTACGTGTACGAGCGTTCCAAGGTGACGAGTGGTGACCTACGCCTCCTAATTTGATGTCTGCACGTCTTCTTTCCAATTCCTGTTGAGGGGTTGTTAGGTACGGGTGTTTATCTACTGGGAACTGGGGAGTGGGGAAACCCAAATTCTTGTTCAGTTGTTTGTTGAAGAGAGTTGCAAATTTCATCAGCTTCAGCCTTCAGGTCTGAGAAATAGTTCATTAAAGAGTTAACTTCAAGCTGGATTGAAAATTTGAAATGAAAAACTTGTTTCTTATTTCTTATTATTATATATTTATTATTGGCCTATTGGGTAGTGTTGTATACTTGTATATGAATTTCAATTCATACGACTCATGGAAACAAATAATAGGCAATGCATATATGCTATTTTTGTTGCGTAGGTAGTTGTTTTAGTTGTGCCTAAAGATCTACCAAATTTGGAGCTAACAAAACTACATAACTGGTGGCGGAGTGGAAGAGCCCAAGAGGGGGCCATGTATATGTCGTAACTCGTAAGCAAACGTAAAATGCCTACGTTTTCAATTACTACTACTACAACAACAACCAATAGGTCCAATCATGGTTTTCAAAACCGGACTGGACCGGATGGTCGGTTCTGGTGGTGCCGGATTGGACCGGTTCCATTTTTCTAGAAAAATGGATTTTTCCTAAAAATCATTGATTTTGGTCAACAAACCGCTGACCCAGGCGGTTAATCGTTCGAATGATTTTGATCATTTTTCTTTTAATTTTTAAATTTTTTTTGCCAGAACGGGCTGATCGTTTGGTTCGAACGGTTAGACCGTTCAACCCAGGAACCGGACCCCTGACTAGTCTGTTCTCTGGGTCGGTTTTAAAAACCTTGGGTCTAATACAGAAGGTGAAATTTGGGGTTTGGGTTGGTCAGATTGGGTTTGGATTGAGTTGAAGGATCATTTGGTTTGTTTTTGGAATTGGAATCAAAATCTCTTAGAATTAGAATCAGCGTGGTTTATTCCTATAGCTTAGTCTGTTTGGTTCAAATAAAAATCGGAATCAGAATTGGAATCAGCTGGAATGAAATTTCATTTTCAAGGAAAGGTCTCAAATGAGGAATGCCATTGATTCTACCAGGAATGAAAATGAAATTCCAATGCTGCCCATCAGATGGTTGAAATCGGAATGATTCATTCCAATTTCGATGCTGGCCCTATTCCCACAAACTATGCAGGTCCTCGTGGATGGGGCCAAGGTTCAAAGTATCAACACAGGCTGATACGCCAGTAGGGTGTACCGGCCTGTATTGGTACTTTTTTAAAGTTTTATTTATTTTTTACGAAATTGATTCAGAGGGATCAGTTTAAGGGCCCAGCTACCCTCTGAACCAGTGTCTGACCCGATACAACCCTTGGAGGGGCATATCAGTAGGCTATCGGCACGTATTGACCAATACATATTGATACTTTGAACCTTGGATGAGGCAAACTCAATGTGCATCCTTTTAGAACAGCATGTAAAGGTACTGGTTACAACTTGCAGACCGGTGGTTGAGGGTTGGAACTTGGAACTCTAACAAATTTGATCAAGACTACTTCCCTTCTTTCCTTCAGGCTCTTTCTGTTTGCACTGCAAATCTCTAAATGAGATATAAATTTTGCATCATTTCACCTTTTGTTTGTAATTATAATTTGCACTTTTATCTGATCCAAATCTATAATTTTATTCTCATTTACATTCGGGGCAACTTTTTGCCGTGAATATCAATAAAAAGTAATGATAACTTTTTTAGAGAAATATAAAAAAAGTTAACATTCTTTCTGTTGTTTTCTCTTTTGTTGGATTATTCCGAAGCTTGCCATGTGGGAGCATGATGAGATCGATCTATTTTGCATTCACCGCCAGCGAGACCAATCCACTCTTGCTACACTTCGAACTGTCACAACTCAGAAGTTCAGACCAAGTACAGAAAAAATTGCAGCGTTTCAATATTATTACAGAGTCCTCAAACAAATACAAGATCAACAGCCCATTGCCCTCAAACGAATTACCATTGCTGTAAACCATTTTCTTGGGTGAGAAAAGAGAAGGAAGACGATGAACACAGAGCCACTGCCCTTATCCAGGGCAAAAATATCATTCCATCGTCTTCCTCTTGAAAGAGCAGAAGACGATGAACAGTATTATTGCCCTTTTTTGATATTTTTCTAAAAAAGTTATATTATTTTAATTATTTTATAAAAATATTACTTATTATTGATATTCAGGGCAAAAAATTGCCCTTAACCCCAATTTTATATCCCGATGAACTGAATGTCATAGCTTTATTAGAGGCTGTGCAACGGATGATAACACCCCACATCAGTCATACAGCGTATATACCCCATTACACTCCACAGTAGCCCCGTATCTTCATCTTTGGCAGACTTTATAGTATTTGTATTATGTAGAATTGATTTCTTCTTGCATTTTATATTTGAATGCAAACTGGAATGTTCCCTACATCTCCTATATCGTATATATCATTGAGAGATGTTCCAATAGGCAGCTTGTCGGAATATAATGAAAGAGGTGAAGCCACAATATCCCATTTATTTTGGGATGCAATAAGAATATCCTATTTTCATCTGTCTTGTACCAGCCCATCTTAGTAGTCTCCTTCCACTACCAAATTTATAAACCTGACAGACCTTGCTAACCTTAAACCTTGGAATACTGCCATTATTCCGCTCATTCTGAAATTCCCATAACCTATAGGTCTGAAGATAGAGATATGTGATTATGATAGTCACTCTAGACTCAACTATCTCTAAAAATGCCTCCCATACCAGATGGGTCTGAAGATAGAGCTATATGATGGTTGGACCGTTCAACCACTTGACCGTAAAATCCAAGGCTTCTTGGCTAAACATTCCAACCTTAGACACATGGAGGGATGATTTGGTAATCAACCATCAATTAGATTGGTTGACCCCTGAATTGGTTATATGGTTTACTCCCACCCTACGGGGCTTAAAATGGAAACATGGAAGACCCGAAGAGCAAGAATTCATCTCGAAGCAATATAATGAATGAAATACACATCTGAGTTGCTCAAACTTAAAATTTTGCCTATTATTTGCATTTAATGGGATCATGGAAACATGCAAGTGATTTCTCCCGCAAAAACTGGTACAAGTCTTGAAGTTGAAACAAGTATAGCAACTGCTTCCATGTTTGCATCGTTTAAACATCAAAATTGAGTTCTGGGTTTCTTGGATGAATTGGAAAAGAGAAATAAATTCAATATAATAAAAAAAAAAAACAAAAGTGAAGTTCCCCAACCAAATTATATATTAGGGAAGTCCCTCGTTACTCGGATCTTCAAGCTCCAGGCTAAGCCTTCTTGTATAACTGCAGCAGATTTTAAGGTGGACCAAGCTTACTAGCCAACCTGAAATGCCCCCGGCACCAATTCCACCATGGTAATGGTTCTATTAGAGACTTGGAGAAGCACCAACCCCTTCTTTGCTCCTCACTCTGCTTTTGTCTTGGATGATTTCCTTGAGTAAGATGTTCGGTACCCACTTGTACACCTCCCAACAAATTTGAGAATCTCATCAATCAAGACAACGGGAAATGCTACCGCCAACACCAACAACCACTCGTTGAGGCTAAGAGGCACAATCCCAAAGACTTGGGCAAGGAAAGGAACATAAAGGATCAAGAAATGCAGGCCGAAGGAGACTGACATGGCCAACAGGAGCCAAGGGTTAACCCATGGGGGCATTGTCAAGAGACTCCCATCCTCAGACAAGGCATTGAGAGAGTTGAACATCTCAATAGCCACCAGGACAGAGAGGGAGAGAGTCATGGCCTTAACTTTGCCAACCTGGAAATAATCACAGGGATTGGCATCAAATGAGAACACCTGAGACCCTGCTGTAAAAGGAGAAACTGTGAACCCTTCCCAGGAAGGACACTGTCCCCAGTTGGAGAGTTGGGAATAGGTGACAAGAGTGTGGCCGTCTTGGCTCAGGTCAATACCCAAGAAAGATCCATGTGTATACCATATAATGAACACACCCACGGTTGCTATCCCTACATAGGACCCAATGACCTGCACAAGTTTGAGAATAAAAGAATTATACATGGACTAAATCCCAAAACATATTCAAAAGACAAGTCAAGAAGAAACGGTTTTTGGCATCGAGGAATGAAGTACCAGGTAGCGGAATAAAATCCAAGCAGTGATCAAGGAATCATCACTTCTACGAGGTGGTTTCTTCATTATGTCTTTATCAGGTGGATTGAATCCCAACGCTGTTGCAGGAGGGCCATCAGTGACAAGATTGACCCACAGAAGCTGGACAGGGATCAACCCTTCCGGAATACCTAAAGCTGCTGTTAGAAATATAGAGGCAACCTCGCCAATATTTGAGGAGATCATGTACCTGAAATAATGCCACAAATACATAAAGCATAACTGTCAGATAGCAACTGGGACCTCAACGATTACAAATTATAGATGAAGATTTTAAGACCCCGCAATATAGAGAATACAAATTGAAGGAATAATAATATGTTTATTTCCAAGAACTGACTGTCATATTCAAATTCATCAGCTGAACCCTGGACATCTTTCTAAAAAGCTTTGTTTTTAAACTCACTCAATATGCATCTACCGTGGACTACAAATTTTGGAGTTAATTGCCATTTGGTTAGTAGTTGGACAATGAAATGGCATTTTAAAATATCTCAGCAGGCACAAGTAAGAGTTCTACAAATCGTACTAAAACAACGTAAGTGGCTGTCAGGGATTCTTTCCAGAATTCTGTTTCTCAATCCACTTCTAGCCACACTCTCAATGTCCATATTTAAGGCAGAAAATTTCACAGCAGAGGATGATGAGGATTCATGAAACACATCTAGAGATTTATCATTTTTAATTAAGTTCTAGAATGTATTTGACATAATCCCTTCATATTAATGACATAGCAAGTATGCAAAAAAAAAATTATTGTTATATACATCCCACAGTTTGCAACTTGCAACTTTAGTAAATAAGTACAAAACAAAACCATTTTTTATCAATGACAAAACAAAACCAATTTTAAACACCATAAATGGAAAAGACATGGGGAACAGAAAAGAAAGAGCAGTGAACCTGATGAATGCCTTCATATTGTTATAAATAGATCTGCCTTCACCCACTGCAGCAACTATTGTACTGAAGTTATCATCTGCCAACACCATGTCAGAAGCTTCCTTTGCAACCTACAAGAAAGGAACAAGCATTAAGATGGCATTCAAGAAAATAGTGATATAAAAAGAGTAAAAATGATAAACAGTTTTAGAAGGGCATAATTTCAGGAACAATAGCAAAAACCTAAAGAACTACATTGATTCTAGAAGCTTTGTTACAGCTTGACAGAACTACATGCATACAAATGCCTAAAACCCCCAACAAGAAGCATTGCAAAGACATGAACTGCCCCAAGAGAGCAATTAGAAAAATGCATCTAGAATGCAATGTAGCACCAATGTGAACATCTTCTCATTCACTTGAACACCCCAAGAATTTGCATGAGCATCTGAATGTTACAAATCTTCAAATTTTATAATAGGAAATTTTAAAGACAATAAACTGTGTTTTCCTATCCTGAATCTCATGCTGCAATGCAAGTTAACTGATGTCCTAATATTGATGCTCAAGGATTGTAGTTAGAACTTAGAAGCTTAGGTGAAAAGAAAATGATGATATAAATACAATGATATGATCTCAAAGAATAACATAACTTACAGCTTATGCCTATCCAACACAAGAATCCTAAAGCAACAAATCATAGAAAAACAATAAAAAATTATCAAATCATCCTGTTAAATGCACAAAAATATTGCAACATGACAACCAGTGGAAAAAAGAACCTCAGTTCCAGTGACACCCATTGCAACTCCAATATCAGCCAATTTCAAAGCAGGGGCATCATTGACCCCATCACCAGTCATCGCAACCACTTCCCCATCTTCTTTCAACAATTTCACTATCTCTTGCTTATGCCTTGGTTCAGCCCTAGAGAAGAGAAGCCCGCCATTTTGATTCAAATGCCTTTTCTGATCATGAAGACTACGATCCATAAATTCCTTGCCTGTTAAGCTTTTCAAGCTAATGTCCTCATAAGGACCAAATACACCAATTTCACGACAAATTGCTTCTGCTGTATTCTTGTTATCTCCTGTTATGACCATAACACGAATACCAGCTGCTCTGCAGTCCTCAATTGCTTTGTGAACTTCTTTTCGAGGAGGATCCTACAACATGTTGATTACTGTTAGCTCCTCAAAATTGCCTAACTAGTCATTACAGTCAACATATAACAAATGAGTGTAAAATGGCACATGTGTTGACTCACCCTTAATCCAACCAAACCAACAAAGATAAGATCACTTTCAATAAATGAATAATTAGATGGTTTAAGTAAGAGGTCATGGGCTGGATGATTTTCATCACCATCATAAGTTGCAAATTCAGAAGGCTCCTTGTATGCAAACCCAAGACAGCGCAGTGCAGTTGTTGACATTTCATTAAGGGATTGTAAAATAAGATCCCTAGAGCTTTGATCCAATCGCACAACAGTGCCATCACACAACTGCATATAGGAGCTCCTCTCCAATACATTCTCTACTGCACCCTGCCATATGTAGCAATTCTGTCAGAAATGCTTTGTCACAGCCAAAAGACACCTTGACAAAGAAGAAAAGCTATAGATAGTTGGGAGGTAGCAAATGTCGTGCTCAATCCAGAATTCATTGATAACGAACAATAACAATCAAGTAAAGAACAGCTGTGAGAAAAACCATTCTGCCCATACTTAGTCATAATAGTAGAAAGCTTCAATGAATGAAAACGGAGAGATCTGTGAATTAGTGTGACTGAAGAAAAAACTAAAGCAACAATAGGATGGGCCATTGGAATGCCCTTGTCCTTCATCTCCCTGTAACCTAACCCTTCATATCCTTAACAAACTTCATTTGTAAGCCAAAGTATAGAATTTTACTTATTTGCCTTTACTCCATTGGAAGCAAATTAAGACAATGACACAAAAGTATAGAATTGGTATTTCCAAAGTTACCTTCACCAATAAAGTATTTCTATTTGATTTTGACGTTGCAATAACACCCATTGACTTCCGATCACGATCAAATTCAAGAGTTGCAATCCGACATTCTACAGAATTCCATAGCTGGCAACAACCTTTAACAACAAAAAAATAAAAGCAGAAAAAGGAGAACATGAGGTCAATTATTCATGTTTGTGAAAATGGAATACAGCTAAAAGAATTAATTTTTCCATGTTTTAACGTACATAACACATCTTCAGTGCTCAAAGATAAGTCCTGAAATCCTTGAGGAGGTCCCATCTTCTCAACTAGGACCTGAAAGTAGAAAAATAAATGGTTCAGATAGGAGTTTCAACCACACTAACTTGCTTAACAGTCAATAGTTACCTGGATGAATGAAACAAGGTAAGAGTCTTATTGGCATATGCTTCTGAAAAGATTAATTACTAATTGTCTAGCATCCACTGGCAACAACCTATTAGTGGTCAGCCAAAAATAGAAAAAAAGCAAGGAAAATATGTTCCCTCATTGTTTGTGGGTTCTCGAACAGTGGTGTTTCCCTCCTGGAGCATTTCATTACTGGAAGAATATTGTGAATACTACATCGAACCACCACCACTCCCCAGAATACACAAAAAATAAAACACATAAACCCAAGTAATGATATAAACATGGTTTCATAATTAAGTGAAAAACCTCCCAAGGTTTAAGGATAGAAGCCTAGAAGGCTAGTCCATAAAATGGGGCTTGGCAATTTGTATATTTTTCATTATTTACCATTACCTAATAAAATCATATCTATTACAGAACCAAATAAAAAAGTGAAAAAGCTCCCGAATAATCAACATGCACAACCAAAAATAAGTGGGGCACATTGTTGTCTACTTCCGGTTGAGAGGCTAACCTTACTTTCTACAAGAAACAGAATCCAATCATCAGTAATTTGTTAGCCATTAGATTGGAAACTATGGTTTTGGATTATATGCTCCTCAGGCTGCGTTCAGTTTCATTTAACGACTAGATTTCCGCCAATCAAATGAAAGGGTACAATTGCTATTACATAATAAATAAGAACAAAGGAAAAGAAAACAAAATATAGTGATTTTACCTTCAATGCTGCCTCAGTAGGCATTCCGTTAGCGACGTAGTGATTCCCCGATTGTGCAACACCTGCATCATTGCAGATAGCAGCAATCTTTGCAATCGTTTCAAGATTGGCATCCATAGGACCAGTTGGCCAGTCATGTATTCTGCCATCGGAAGGATTGTACGTGGTCCCGTCTACCTTGAAAGTTCTGAGTGAATCTTTACGAGGACCCATGGTCACCAGCTTTGCTACTGCCATTTGATTGGTAGTCAAGGTACCTGTCTTATCAGAACAAATCACTGTTGTACAACCCAGAGTCTCGACGCTAGGCAACTTTCGTACAAGAGCATTCTTCTGAGCCATCTTTCGGGTGCCGAGCGCCAAGCAAGTTGTAATAACCGCCGGTAAACCTTCCGGAATGGCCGCCACTGCCAATGCCACAGCAATCTCGAAGTAGTAAGTACACTTCTCGAAAGAAAACTTAAAATTAGCTGGCCGCCCATCCACATAATCCCAGGTTAGAAAGTACTTAAAATTGATTAGCCACACCAGCAAACAGATCACTCCGATTATGGCAGTGAGAGTTTCTCCAAATTCGTTAAGCTTCTTTTTCAGGGGGGTATCTTCATCCATCTGCGCAGCAGCGTGTATCTGAGAATGCACCTTCCCGATCTCCGTGTTCATACCCGTTTGCGTAACCAAGCAGAGGAAGCTTCCGTTGACAACAGTAGTCCCCGCAAAAACCATGCATCTCTTCCCTTGAATGTCAGTGTCCTCTGGAACGGCTTTATTGTTCTTGTTAACCGCTTCACTCTCACCCGTCAGTGAGCCCTGCTCGATCCTCGCAGTGGAGCTTATCAGATGCAAAACCCGCATATCGGCTGGAACCTTGTCGCCTACCCGAAGTTCAACGATATCGCCCGGAACGAGCTCCCTCGCGGGCAAACTGGAAATCTTTTTCCCATGACGAATCACGTTGGCGTGCTCGGATTGAATGTCCTTTAGAGCTTCTAGGGCTTTCTCGGCGTTATTCTCTTGCCAGACTCCAACTATGGCGTTCACAATCAAGATCAAGAAAATCACGAGAGGCTCCACGAACGCCGTAATTCCCATCTCGCCCCCCTCATCGCCATCATACCAAGCGAGGACAAACGATACAACTGCGGCAACGAGTAGAATCCGCACTAGAGTATCGTTGAACTGTTCGAGAATCAAACTCAAGATTGACGGGCCCTCATGCTTTTCCAATTCGTTCCAGCCATAGATCCGACGCCGCTTCTCGACTTCTTCAGTTGACAATCCCCGGTCCTTGTCGACGTTGAACACTTTCAGACAGTCCTCGACGTCTTTAGCCCACGCCGGACAGATTTCTCGGTCTGAGGGCTTGGATCCACCGGTATCTCGTCTTCCATAATCTTGCCCCCCTTTCCCCATCGAGATTTAGTAAAATAGCGCACTCGAGAAGAGTAAAGATGCACAAGAAAGGAGTTAATGAATTTTCCAGGTGAATTCACCAGAAATCGACGAATTAATCAACATATAAATCTCATGATCTACCTATCAAAAAACGCAGAAACGAATCTTATATAAGAATCAAATCCAAGAAACCAATCGTAAATTCCAAATAAAATATGAGCTTCCAAGTCCACGAAAATAACAAAGGAAATAGGAAGAACAGAGGGAGAGAGAGAGAGAGCAGAATGAGATCTTTTAGGGTTTCGGGAAGCTGAAGAGCAAAGCTAATAGGAAGATGCCGTGCAACTTCCCTTCCCTTCTCTCTATGATGGTCTCTCTAACTAAAGTGAGAAGCAACCTCTCCTCTTGCCTCTTGTTAGAAAAGGAGAGCGCTTCTATCGCTTTGGCGACTTGCTTGCCTTCTCCTCATTGAGAAACGTGACCCCCTCTCTCCCTTTTCGGTCCCTCTTCTTCCCAGTTCCCCCTATACCCGAGTCCGGATCTGCTCCTCACAGAGCGCTCCTCTCAGCATCTTTCAGCCGCACATCGGGAAAATCTTCCGTAATGGTATGTTATTATTGATGAGAGATGTTTCTAATATACGGTGGGATGTTGCTGTTAGATCGGTGTGAGGAGCTCTCTATGGCAGTAGATCCCAATTCCTCGACGCCTCCACTACTCCACCTCCACTTTTTAATTTTCCTGTTATATTCTCCTACTTTGTTTTCCAAATTTCAACAGTGAAAAAAAGTAAAGCATTCTTTAATTTCGTGGCTCCCGAGTCCTAACTCTTCGAGTCTTTGTATTGGAATATAACCGATTCTGAACCGTCGATAATTCACATTTAATCAGTTAATTAATTATTTATTTATACTCAAATCAACCTGGAGCTGGAGGTGCCGGTCCCTTTGGATCTCTCTCCGAAATTTTGGCTGAGTTTGATGATCCTCACCGTTCGAGCAGTTGGGTGCTTAGATATGCCTAACTAATTAGGACCCACGACTTTCAAGGTTATTATTGTAATTATGCATAGGGAGTTAGTTCATTGAAGTTATCGAAATAGCCCTTCAGCCAATCAGAAACTGGGTTGATATAGCACACACCCTGGCCCCTGAATTTTTATGGTCCACTGCACTCCGCCACTCCCAGCCCAGCCCATAACTGAAAATGACCTTTTTTTTTCATTTTTGATAAATAACACTGAAAAAGTGAAAATGACTATTGGGGGCTTAAAAGTTAAAACAAAAGAAAGAGGGAATGGGACGTACTGACTTCTGCTGTGTCCTCACTAGGAGTACAGTCTGCATTATTCTCTTTGGACTGAAACCGTTGGATTGGGACTTTACACTTTACAGGGCTTCATCGCTGTGATCGTACTCCTTGCTAGAGTAGAGAGCCGTACATAGGTAGATTAGAGACGCACAAATCCGCCTTTACCTACCAGGCAACCCACGGATCAAAGTACGAAACTAGAGAGTATATTCTATTGTTCCGTTACAAGTTACAATAGACTGGGCTATGTTTGGTTTGATAAAACATAATGACGAGAGAAGCATAGAAAGTTGAGGGGAGTGAAAGTTCTCACTTCTCAGTCATTTTTTTTTTAATTTTTTCTATGAACTTTCCCTCAAGCTTCCGTCTCTCTCCTATTTTACATCGAAAAGTTCAGAACTTCAAACCAAACACAGCAACTTACAGTTGGAGCCTAGGAATTACACTCAGTAGTTAGCTGTCTACCTTTACTCCTTACCCTCTAACAGAATGTCTGACACCTCTATATACCTGGCTCCATGGTGAACTCCAATTAGTAGACAACCAGCCCTAATTGGCGCATAGCTGGATCCCCTTAAGATTGTTTTATTTTAAGTGCATTGGAAACCTATTCGAAATTTCACTGTTAGATTCTGTTTTGCCATGGAAGGAAAACATAGGATCCCGTGGTTTATGGCTCTCGTGCTTTGGAAAACGGAGACACGTGCGAATAAGCTGGACACGAGATCAGTTACCGTACTTGTCCTTTCATTTAGAAATAAATAAATAGTTAAATACTCCCTTAGACCTTTCATTTCTTCTCAATTTTGGCCTCGCCGGACGCCGGTCTCCCAATCAATACTTATTTATTTAAGTGATCTCCAATCTCGAGGATGTCCCCATGTCCTTGTTCTTTTCCAAAATTGATAAAAACGAAAACTAAGCGGAGTTTCGTCAATGTGAATGCATGCTTTTGCTTTTTGTTGTGTAAGTAAGACAACGGCAACCGTTTTTGCTTCAGCCCGTTTCACATTAGGCAGTTTTGTTTGGATCAAATTAACGATAAAACGGGTTTTTTTTATTGTTGAGAGGAGGAGATCCGGACTCACTCGCCCGGCAACAGGGACAGCTGTTCCCCTGATCTAATCTAATAATGTATCATGTACTTGATTCCATATCTACCGTAGTAGCAACGCTTCATAATAAAACAAGCGTTTACGTATTTGGACGGACTACGAGGACATGATGAAAGAATCAATGGATCCATAGCCAAATAGTAAAGTAGGGCCCCACTGAAGTTCGGCTTTTTCTGTTTGATATTGTTACGCAGTATTTATCTCTTGTCTTGTTATTCTACATAAAGCTTCAAAAGCAAGGGATTCGACAGGCCAGCCTCGCAGTCCACAGTCCACATCGTCGGGGTCTGACTGCAATTTGCAGGTGCTGGTATGTGCATCGGACGAAAGGGACGTTTATATGCCAAAGGATTTAGTGATTTTGTCTATTCGTCTACTCGTGTGCTCAGTGCTCACGTCCACTAATGGGAACGCCCGTGAGATCTAACATCGAAGGGTTTTATTTTCTATATAATAAGAAAACAATGAAAATAATGAAGTGAATTAAATATCATATGGGTGTTATGAGTTAAGACAAGTCCAACAAGGGTTCTATACTTGTTGAGCGGATCAGGATTCTAATCCGACATTGAAGGGCTAACTTTGGGTGAGGGACCCATTTCCGGATCCACCATCGTGTATGGTGAAGATTATTATAGACGGAGAAGAATCCTAAAGTCCTGACGCGACGGGAGGATGCCTTTGCCAGTTGCCACGTAAAACAAGACAGAGAGATATTCTGAGATATAAGCCTTTCAAGGCGCACGGTTTACAAGGTGCCAGCTGGCTATGAAAAGGTAGATGGAAGCCTTTCAAATGGTCCCATTTCCGGTGGATGGAGCCCCTCTAGACTCGAACCATTTGGCAATTTTGAAATGATTATAATGGAAAAGCCGGCTAGGCCAGTTTGTTGTTATACGCTGATATCTGAAAGTCTTCTACGGTCTAACGAGTCACGCGTTGCCTTTTTATTAATAGTGTTTCGCTCTTTTGGGCTAACGCTATAAGATTCCATTATCGCTGGCCCCACTTAGCTTACCATGTGTTGGTAGTCAGGACTATACCTGTTCATGGGCCGGGCCGGGTCGGGCTCGGGCCGGGCTTTTACTCTTCATTAACAAAAATATGTTAGGCCCGAGCCTGAGCCCGGCCCGACCAACGTCTACAACTTGGGCCCGAGCCCGGTCCTAATAAAAAGCTCGAAGCCCGACCTAATAAAAAAAATTAGAAAATTTCCCTATTCAATAATCAATATAAATCAGAATTTATTTACACTAAAAAAATATATAAATTCAAAATTTATTTATATTAAAAAAAGTATATAAAGAAGGGAAAGAGGATGTGGAGAAGAAGAATTTGGTTGGAAAAATAAGGGAAAGAGGTGAAAAAAAGAGGGGTATTCAACTAGGGTTTTTAGGTTTATTTATAGGTCGGGCCGGGCCGGGCTATTTTGGCAAATCTCGAGCCCGGCTCGAATTTATTGCGGGCCAAGCTTTTTGGCCCGAGATTAAGCCCGCGGGTCTATATACCTGTTCAAGCCCGTCCAAGGACCGGGCCGGCCCGTCGGGCCACCCGGCCCATGAACAGGTCTAGTCAGGACTCAGGAGAACTCGTGAGAAGACTGACGAGATGACATATGTTGTAGTGTTGGTAGTCATGTGGACATCAAAACCAAAACCCGGTTCAAGCCAGATGTGCCAATTGCCAAATCATGACTTACAAAAACGGTCTTTACTGGGAGGACCGGCTCGAGATAAATGTACTTTTGATTTTGTTCGGGTCGTGGTTGAGTTGGCCTTAAACGACTGTGGCCGCCCAGTCATCATCCAGTCACCCCGACCATGTCAGTACAGCTCGGTTGGCTCTACAGCCATGACTGCACTACACTATTCCCATAACCCCCCACCTTATCCTCTTAGCCACATCAGCGCCACATCAGACAGATAAGCACGACCAAGAACAGGAAAAGAGATGAGGACAATTCCACTAGGGATTAGGACTCTATCCCAGGGATCTCGACGGTCAACCTCATCCCAGCAACCCCAGAAGCCTAATCCGACTAGGACACAGACATTCGGTTATAAAAGGGCATCTCCCACTCAAGGTAAGGGATTCTGGCTTCTAGCACTCATAATACTTTCTGGCTCGGACCAGCACCCTCTCTACTCAGCCTGACCATCTACCACCTTCTATTGACTTGAGCGTTGAAGTGCCTACCCGGGAACAACTCCTCGAGCCTCTGACTTTTTTTCTTGATCACAGGTCTTGAAGTGTGGCACTGTCCTTCCGCCTCGGCTCCACCCTATTGGCAAGGACTATCTAACTACAACCTCGATTCGTGCACCACCGCAGCAACAGATTTAATTTTACAAGCATTTGATAAATCTACATTTATATTAATAATTACAGCTATCACAATCATTTGTATTCACAATTGATGTAAAATTTGTATCGATTCTTTGGAATCAAACTTTGCACTTGTTGGTTGGGTTAATGTAAAAAGGTGAATTTCAGTCTTGGAATCCATGTTTATACTCATTACAACCAAAAACTGTGTTAGAAAATTAAAACCTATTCAAAGATCTCACTAACAATTTAAGTTTTTAGCTTGAATGAATCCTTGGCTCAAATGAGTATTATTTTGTATTATTTTATATATTTGTATTTGTACTCCTTCCAAACTGAACCTAAGAGTTGAGATACAAAATTTATCAGTGCAAAATTAAATCAATTTATATTAGGGAATCGGTGAGAAATAATTTTTGAATGGTACATATTTGTTTTAGCGTAAGAAACAAACTCAAACTCAGCCCCGAAGATCGTGAAGCCTCAGCCCAAAATCTCTTTCAATTTCGAGGTGAGAAAATTACTTTAGAGGACGACAAGAAGGATATGTGCAATCATTATTGCACAAATTCTTGCTAGTCCAAATACGCGGACATTATCTTTTTTTTTTTTTTCAAAACATAAAAGGGATCTGCTTTAAATTTTGGTTCTATCTCAAGTATGGGCATATTTGTTTGGCAGTAGCAAAACGTTTGTGTGACAATGATCACAAGTCACAACTTGATGACAATAC